TTTTTAATATTAAAATCTTCGGAGGAAAACTAGGGAAGAACAGGTGTGTTGATTGGCAGGTCCATTTTTGAAAATGGAAAAGTAAGATCTTTGTTCTTGATGTTATTGTTATTGTGTACCATAGATTCAGAACCAACCCACAGCTGCCCCTCCAGTGGGTTTTCAGAGGCAGTTAATCACACGTGAAGACATTGCCCATCCTTCTTCCACGGAACTGCTGGTAGCCTTTGGGACTGCAGCACAGCTTCCTTCCTGCTACTAGGCCACCATAGCTCCAATGGCGAAGGAACTCTGCCCTTCAAAATTCTTTTCTATTTCCATTTTGAGTCATTAGAAAGCTTTGTAGATCCAATGGACTTCTGTGTTTGGTTCTAGGACATACCCTGGAGGAAATGCCACTGAGATGCTATTGGATGGGATGTCACACAAACCCAGAAAAGAAGAGACTAGGGATGACAGAAGAATTATGCCTTTAAGTTGTGGTGCTAGAGAAAATTATTGAACTGCCAAGAGATGTCTATCTGTGTTTCATTGATTATGCAAAGGCATTTGACTGTGTGGATCATAACAAACTGTGGCTGATTCTGAGAAGAATGGGAATCCCAGAACACTTGATCGTTCTAATGCGAAACTTATACTTGGACCAGGAGGCAGTCGTCAGAACAGAGCAAGGGAACACTGCATGGTTCAAAATAGGGAAGGGTGTACGCCAGGGATGCATCCTGTCTCCATACCTTTTCAACATGTATGCAGGCAGATTATCCGAGAGGCTGGGCTCTATGAGGAGAATTGTGGCATCAGGATTGGTGGAAGATCTATCAACAATCTCCGTTATGCAGATGACACAACCTTGCTTGCTGAAACTGAGGAGGACCTCATGCACTTGCTGCGAAGGGTCAAAGACTGCAGCCTTCAGTATGGACTAAGGCTCAACGTCAAGAAGACAAAGATTCTTGCCACTGGACCAATTGGCAGCGTCAAGATGGATGATGAAAAGATTGAGAGTGTTCACAGCTTCACTTTGCTCGGCTCCACAGTTAACACTCTTGGTACCAGCAGTCAGGAAATCAAAAAGCGTATCGCGATGGGAAAGACTGCCGTTAGGGACCTCTCAAACGTACTCAGGAGCAACAGTGTCTCTCTGGAGACTAAGGTGCACCTGATACAGGTCATGGTATTTGCAATCGCTTGTTATGCATCAGAGAGTTGGACAATGACTAGGGAGGACAGAAGGAGAGTGGATGCTTTTGAGCTGTGGTGCTGGAGAAGGGTACTGAATGTACCCTGGACTGCCAGGAAAACAAACAGATCCATCTTGGAGAGGACTAAACCAAGCTGCTCCTTGGAGGCAAGGATTCTGGGGCTTCATCTGACATACTTTGGATATGTTGCCAGGAGGGACGGGTCCTTGGAGAGGGACATCATGCTTGGGAGGGTGGAGGGACAGCGCAGGAGGGGAAGACCCTCTATGAGATGGATTGATTCGGTGACTGGGGTAATCGGGATGGGTGTGTCAGAGGCGGTGCGGTTGGCGCAGGATAGAGCAGGGTTTAGAGCTGTTGTGCATAGGGTCGCTATGAGTCGGAAACGACTCGATGGCACATAACAACAACAACAGCCAAGAGAACAGATTTATCCTAGGTAGGGTAAAACCAAGTTTCTCCTTGAAGGCAAGAATTTTTAAGTTCTCTCTCACATATTTTGGGAATGTGGCCAGGAGGGACCCGTCTTTGGATAAGGACATCATTCTTGAAAGGGTAGAGGGAAAGCAAAAGAAAGGAGAGCTCTGGAAAAGGTGGACTGACTCAGTGGCTGGGGCAATGGCAGCAGTTGTGTCCCAGCTAGTGAGAGTGACTCAAAATAGAACAGATTTCAGAACTATTATACACAAGGTTGCTATGAGTTGCAGGTGGTTTGATGGCACCTAAGAGCAACATATAAATTAAATTTTAAAAATTATTCTTGATTATTTTGAATATATGTATCAGGAGAAAAACTACTCCGATACAATATAAGCTTTCTAGCTTCTTTGCAGCAGGCATCTCATTTCCCCCTGGGATTTCTATTCCTTCTATTTTATAGCTGCACACTGCCAAAGAAAATTATTATGAAATGAGAAAATCCCTGCATCTATAACATGTATCTTAACATATACTCTGTTCAGCATATCAACAACCTATGTTATGTAGATGACACAACCTTGTTTGAAGAAAGAGAAGAAATCTTTACCCGAACCCTAACCCTAAACCTAAGAACTTACTAAAGAAGACCAAAAACTGCAGGCTTCAAAGTGGATTATAACCCAACATGAAGAAAACAAAAATCCCCCGCCCCCTGTACCAATAAGCAATATCGTGATTTATGGAGAATAGATTGACATTGTCAACAGTTTCATTTTACCTGGATCCACAATCAACACCACAATCAACAACAGTCAAGAAATCTAAAAATGTCCTGCATTGGGAAAATCTGTGGTCAAAGATCGCTCCAGAGTATTGAATGGCAAGGATGTCCATTTAAAGACTAAAGTACTTTCATCATTTCGCATTCATGAGAAAGTTGAACAATGAATAATAAAGAAGACCAAATAGAAATTGATGCATTTTAGGTGTTTCAGAGTATTAAATATTCCAAGGACTGTCAAAGAATAAACAAGTCTTGGAGGGGTCCAGTTAGGATGCTTCTTAAAGGCAAAGACAGTGAAACTTCATCTCACATACTTTGCATGTTGTCAGAAGTCATCAGTCACTGGAAAAAAAAGACATCATGCTGGGAAAAGGGTCAGTGAAAGAGAGGAAAACCCTCAACAAGATGGCCTGACACAGTGACTGAAACAATAGCCTGGATCATGATGGAGGGTCTAGGGATGGATGTAAGATAGAGCAAGGTTCTGATCTGCTGTTCATAGCATTTCAATCTCAGTTGACTTCACAACATCTAACAACAATAAAATAATATCCTCATAATATTATCTCCTGGGAGTTTATTAGACATACAGATTTTCAGGCCCTAAGGGCAGACTCACTGAGTAAGATACTCTACTGAGTGATGTCCAAGAGGGCTAAAGTCATGTGAAATGGCTGTTACAACTACAGTAGACAAGGCAGTATCTGCACAATTTTAAGCACAGTAAGGTTTTATCACCCAGCAAGCCAGAATGTAAACATAGATTATCTCTATTTTGTGTCCTCTCTTGATATGAGACAAATGATCATTTAGTCATAATGCTTCAGGTCAAACACTGGGTCTGGCTGCTAAAGTCATTTTGATTCTCAAAGTTAGAAGAATGATCAAAAATTAAAAGAAAACAATAAGAATAAAGTCACACCCTGAAATGTCCCCTACATAATGCCTCTGGGGTTCAAAAACTAGTTGCCACTGAGTCAATTTCAACTCCTATCAATCTCACGGATACCAGGGAGGAACTGTGCTCCAGAGGATTTTCAACATCTAATTTTTTAAGAAGTAAGTTGTCAAACCTTTCTTCCAAAGCCCTTCAGGGAGCTTTCCAAATTCCCATCTTTTGGTTAGAAGCTAAGTGTTTGCCACCCTTACCTGGCAGACTTACTGGCATAGTGCAACAGACACTAAGGTCTTAAAGGCATTGGGGGAGAGGGTCTTCTCTTGCTTTCTCAACAGTCCTGGAACCATATGCAAAGCACTAGCTCAGCTGAGCCAGGGGAGTCTTCCAGTTCAGAGCAGAAGCTGTAAGGGGAAGCCTTGAGCTCAGCAATGTCAAACTCTGCTCTCTCCTTATCCCCCTCACTCTGCAGTGGCAGCCAAAGAAATGCTTGTTGAAGTGCCTGGGAAACTCTATTGGTGTTTATTATTGTCAGAAGCACTTTGATTCTCTTTTTCTCCTATCACAAAGGATACTTATCCTCAAATCAACAAACTCCAAATGAAAGACATTTTAAGAGAAGTATCATCTCTAAAGCCCACCCTTGCTTGAGATTGAAACTGTGTGTCACATTTTCTCCTCTTCAGTTGTCTTAGCTATTAAATGCAGATGTCTTTAGCTAAGTCCAAAAGACACACAGGTAAGCAAGTCTTCAATCAGATAGAATTGAGAGGACACTGGTTTTTGAAAGGCCCAGGTGGAAGTAACCCGGGAAAGAGCATTATCACCCCAAGCCACTTTGCAGTTGAGAGTTGAGGTAGCAAAAAGTGAAGAAGCTAGTACGAAGGAACAGCAAACCTGGAGATTAAAAACTACTCACGTCTTGTGCCGGGCAGACTCTAAAATAATTTGGCTCAGCAGCATCTGAGAATCTGCTGAGATTTCCCTGTTAGCATCAGTACCCCATTTTTCTAGAGCTATTCACTTCCTAAACAACATGCCTCTGGAAACTCTACGTATTTTGAGAAATGTCAATAGTCGTAGAGGGGCTTTGGGCCTTTTGTTCATAGGGTCGCTATGAGCTGTGCTTGACTTCAAGGCAATCATCAGCAACAACAACCTTTAAAGGTTGGAATCCACATTGGAAAGATGAGTCAAGCAGCTGGATTCTACAAAGGTGTGTTTTCTGGTTTTGGCTGAGGCTTGGATGTGGAATGCTTACTTGCAACTGGGAGTGAGTTGATCGGATTTGGCCTCATATTTAAAAAGGCATTTGGGGCCAAGGGCTGGTTTTAATTGTTTTTGGTCAAACATTCTTCTGAGTGGTATAGCCTTGGTCTGTACAGAGGTAACTAGTGGTTGCTGTCATGCTAAACACTATGATACTAATGTGTCAAATGTACCCATGGTGGACAGTGTTTGGTGGAGCTCCCAATTATAACAGGCTGGAAGCAGGAGTGGCATTCATTTCCATAATAGCTTGCCTCTGGAAACTCTATGAACTTAAAGAAACAATGAAAGTTATATAAGTGTTCAGGTCTTTTGTTCAAAGGGTCGCTATGAGTTGTCTACAACTTGATGGCACTTAACAACAAACACCTTTAAAAGTCTTTTCCTTTATGGCACTTTCTGGACACCCTGACCCCAGACAGGTACTGACCTGGGCAGGTGTGCTCACACTGATTTCCGGAACAAAGTTGTCTTCAAAGAAATTGATGATGTTTTCCTGCTGCAGTTCCTTTGTGGGAGTGACTTTAGGCAGCGGTGGGACAGGAGGCCCCTTCCTTGTCTAGGAAGCATTAAACACAAGAAAATGGAGCTAATTTAGTCCCCAGTGGTGTGTGAGACATACAGAAGTGTCACATGGACACAGCTAGGTGAACAGGTCGCTCACTGATTACAGTTTAGATCTTCACACAGAAACAAGTCCTTCTAAGTTAGATAAAGAATACTATTGACTTATGTGATTCTCTGAGCAAAAGGTCAATAAAGAAAAACTCCTGCCATTAGATTCCATTCATCTCCATATAAGTGTTAGTTCTGGGGCCTCCGGTCTTGGGACTCCATACATTTTTTTTTTCCACCAAGGAAAAATTTTTATTAAAATAGAGATTTCCAGTTATTTAAAAATACATAGAAACAGGCAAACACACAAAGGCAGTATCATACAACTGATTTCTAAACTCAATACTTCTGAAATACAAAACAGTGATCATTATCCCCAAAAGTCCTTTTATTGAAACAAACTGATTTTTAACTTGTTTATTTACAAATATTACTTTTTAGTATATATTTTAACATATTTTAAGATATAGCATTTTTAGTATAGTCCTGTACCAGAACTGTGTTTTGACACATTCACTTATCAAAATAGCATATACTTAGTTCTTTTTTGTAGTTGAAGGCAGCAACTATAGGAAACTTCCCAAAGTCACAAGAATTTCAATATAACTGCTGCTTTGGATAGTTAAGGTTACATTTTTTTTTTTAGGTTAAACTAAGGCAACTACCTGAGATCAACTCAAAACAGTCTTTCACTTCAGTAATAAATTAGAATTTCAAAACTAAAATCAAGCTAGTTTCTCAATTGACTTCACAAGGCCAACTGTAGGCAGCCAAAATTTCAATACCATTCCACTAGTTTGAAAACTAAAATCTTTACAGACATCTACTTCACACACCTTCTTGAGATTTTATTTTCTCAGCTTTTATCACACACATGAAAAGCTAGAGCTAGATTGGGGCTAAGGGTTTTCTTGTGGGAATTTCATTTTCATCCAAAGTAGGAAAGATAATAGTAACAAGTGGCTTCTGTAAGATCAGCTGGGATCTTTGCTCCTTATTGTGTCTCTTAACATTTGTTCTTTCGACATATTAGAGGAAGGCACAAGATAGAATGAAACAAAATCTTGAAAGTGTTCTGAATACAAGAATTTGGCTAACACTCCATATAGTCCAGGTATCCTATAAAAAAAATTATTTAAGCATTGAGTATATGAAGAAATACAAAATGTCAAATATGAAAAATAATTCAATCTCCAGGAATTAGAGCAGCTTACTGAGTACCATCCTGGACTGTGCACTTAAAGATCTGATGTTTAAACTCATCAGTTACTCTGTAGGAGAAGGATGATGCATCTTTCTCTCCTCCTGTTAAGACTCACATCCTCAGAAACCCAAAGCGGGGCTGCTATGAGCTGGAATCTACTCAATGGAAACCTGTAGACTCACATCTCAAAGCTCGCCATTTGAAAAGGCCCTCTAATGTCCAAGAACCATGAACTATCCCAGATGGACAGTCTTACTTTGAATTCTTCTACTGTCCCAAGATATGTGACCTCTTCATACCTGTGAAGGTGACCTAGGCCGAGCTGGTGCTGGAGATGCAGGTGCCAGTGTGTGATTGGGACTACCTACAGGGCTTGAAACAGGGGAAGCCTCCTCAGGTGGAGATGGTGTCTTTGCAATGCGTAGAGGACCTGAATCACTGCGTAAACAGTAAAGATTAAATCAGAGGTCATCTAAGAAAAAACAATTCTTGAATCAAAGATTATCACAGAGTAATCATGAAGCATGGCAAGTATTGTTTGATATCTTACTCCCCACTTCCACAATAATTTTGGTTATTAACAGCAGAGTTGGTGATAATCTATACCAAGAATTGTATGCTACAATCCATACCCATCAATGTTATCTCAGTCTTCACAATTGCCTCCATTCTAGCAGCAGTTGAAACAGACCACAGAGAGGTTACAAAGGCCAAAGGCAACACAGCAGTAGAGTAGATCATGTCAGATTCTTGCAAACCTCCTGTTCTTCTCTGCTACGCCTAAAGGGCATTTCCAGAATCCTCTAGGCACACACTGAATTCATTTAGTTCATTTCACTTTTGAGTTACAAGAGAATTTTGGTGTGTCACACTCTATAGGAAATCCACTTTTAAATAAGAAATTTTACATTAAAAGCATTCCTTAGAATGATGCTCATTTTGAAGGGCTGCATTCTGATGACATTAGAGGGTAAACAAATTCCTTAATTATTTGCCTTTTCCATTTTTGATCTCTGACAAGTTGAGATGTATAGACAAATGTTGTGAAGAATGAGATTCCATGACATTCACTGAGAACTGACTATAAGGTTGGCACTGGGCCAGATGCCTACAAACAGCCAAGTAGAATGACTATTTCATGATGTTCATATAACAGTCTAAGAATTTCTAAAGTCTACATCCTGTGGGAGGAGCATCTGGACCCAAAATAAATGAGCATATACAGGGCAGCACAATCTACATATTCAAGAGGCTAGGGAACTGAATCGTTTAGGGAGGATGTGGAAACTGCATGATTGGAGCTCTGTGCCGCCAACCATGGCCTTGAGGAGAGGCAAAGCCTTGTCTATCAGTCTATGTCCACTTTGGGAGAGCTGACTTACTCACCATCTCGTTCTGTGAAGGAACAGGGCAAAAAAGGAAGGGATTGATTAAGTGGTCATGGTCACACTTTCTCTCAATTTTATCTGATTTAATAGCAATGCGGTTTCAAAGCACATTTGTTCCTTTCATTTCTTAAGTTTTTCATGTCATTAATTTCTAGAACAGTCAGATACTAATTTCATACTCATTATTTCAATTATTTCTTTTCTCCTAACTATACATTAAAATAATCTTGTTAAAAAGTGTAGCTCTACTTCTTTTGTAGTGATCAATTATTATTATTAAAATTATTATTAATCTTATATTTTAAGGATTTCATTTTACTTGGATCCACAATTAACACCCACAGTAGTTGTGGTCAGACTCTCAAAATACATGCTGGTTTGGGGAAATCTGCTTTCAAAGCCTTCTCCAAAGTGCTAAAGAATAATAATGTAAGAAGTTTAAAGACTAAGGTGCACTTGATCCAAGCCATGGTATTTTTCAAATACTTTGATGCATCTAAAAGTTGGGCAATGAATAAGAAAGAACAAATAAGAACCAATGTCTTTAAATTGTAGTGTTGGTGAAGGGTACTAAAAATACCATGGTCTATAAAAAAAAAAAAATCAAATCGGTCTTGAAGGAGGAACAGTGAGAAGGCTTCATAGAGGCAAGGGTGGTGAAATTTCATTTCTCACACTTTGAGAATGTTGTCAGGAGAGGCCAGTGTTTGGAAGAGACATCATGCTAGGAAAGGTGGAGGGTCAGAGAAAGAGAGGAAGACCCTAAAGAAGATGGTTTGATACGGTGACTGTAAATATGGGCTTGAGTATATCAGAGGTGTGAGCCTGGGGCAGAATAGGCTAGGGTTCAGATCTGTTGTTCATAAGGTTGCTATGACTAGTAGACAACTTGACGACACCTAACAACTTCTTTTATGTGTACTTTTAGGCAGTGCTACTTCCCTTGGAAAGGTACCCCAATGCTGACTGAGTCTAACAACCACATCGCTGACAGCTGCCAGCAAAAAATCAAGTGTGGCTAATCCAGAAAGTGGGATATGATAAAAAGAACTCTCTCTAGAGGAATCCTAATATTAACAAACAAATATACTAGTATACAATCACAGACAAAGAATTGTATGTTTTCATAAATGTGTGTATAACCAAGTAGGTATCACAAACAATTGCTTTACTTAACATTAAAAGAGCAAATACAGAATTCAGAATGGCACACTACCTTACTCATAGGGGTGCAATGGTAAAAGGTAGGTCTTTTGAACCCACCAGCAACTCAACAGGAAAAATGAAGCAGGCAGCTTCCATAAAGGTTTATAGCCTTGGGAGCTCTAAGGCCAGTTCAATTCTGCCCGGTAAGGGAACTGAAAGTTGGGGTTGACTCCAAGGCAGCACCTTTGGTTTAGTTTAGAAACACATATTCTTTCATTGTTGTTGCTGATTGCCTTCTAGTTGAGCACGCCTCACAGCAACCCTATGAAGCCCCTCTACAACTATCGTCATTTATCAAAGTTCATAGAGTTTCCGGAGGCACATTGTTTAGGAAGTGGATGCCACTCCTGCTTCCAAACCTGTCATAGTATGTTATTGTTGTCATGTGCCATTGAGTCGCCTGCAATATATAGCGACCCTATGTACAACGTGTCCTGAGCAAATCTCACTAATTCTGACACACTAAATCCCATTGCTCCAGTTACTGTATCAAGCCACCTCATCTGGGGTCTCCCTCTCCTGTGTTGTCCATCCACCCTTCCGAGCATGATGTCCTCCAAGGCTTGATGCTGTGTGTGAGCAGGCCACCCAGTTCGAAACCCAGACCCCGAAGGAGATTTGAGACTGAAGTTATCCTTTCCTGAAAGATGAGATTAAGGTAGCTGATGTCCTTCTGGGATAGAGGTGTTACTTGATCAAGGAGACTGAAACCATTGACCAGAGCAATTAAAAGAGTGCATAAGAAAAACCTGGAGAGTCAGAAACCTACAAGCTCTTTGCCTGACATCAGGCCCAGACTCAGGAACCTACATTGTCTGTGCATGCAGCAACTGGGAAGGATGGAATAAAAATCATGAGAGAAATCTAGGGAGAAGTTGAACCCAGGGAGATAATTCACCTGTAGACACTAGGTCTTCAGTATATTTGACTGACTTAAATGAACAATGCACAATGGAAACAAAACCAATGAACGTGAAGAGTTAGGAGATAAATCTAAGGTGAGGTCTCACTTCATTTCCATTCCTAAATGGATTCACCAAGGATATCAGCCCCAGTGAGAAGTATGAGAACAAGGTCACCGGTTTTGGGAGTTCCTATTTTTTCACAAGGGCACTCTGGTGACTTAGTGGTAAGGAGATGCACTGCCAACCTAGAAACACATGGTTCAAATCCACCAGCTGATCCACAGTAAAAGATGGGCCATATGTTCCTGTGCAATTTACTGCCTCTGAAAACCTGCTGGAGGGTCAGCTATGTGTCAGTTCTAATTGGAGGGCACAAAACAATTTCTCACAAAGAAGTAGTAAGTGCATATAGAGTCAGGCCCTCACTCAGGAAACCCACGCACAAGAGGACTGAACTGTGTGACCCACAGGGTGTTCACTGGTTGCTTTTGGAGGTGATTTCCAGAACTTTACTGATAGTTTGTCCCAACCTGAAGCTCCACTGAAATGTCTTCCGCATCCTATAAGACAATGTCTCCCTTGAATGGGGGGAAGTGGCTACATGGGAAATGCAGACCAGAACTGAAAAGCTTTGTTTTCCTCACAGAAGATAAGAATTCTACCACTGAACCACTTGTTTATAAAGTGCATAATCAGACATTATGTGTTAATATTTTACACCCAAGCCCATGCAAAGCAGAGAGGGACAGGCAGTCAGCTGATTCTATAATGACAAGAGCCTTCACTGGATAAAAGGCCAAAATTAAATGTATAAGCACATAAGTAAGCCTGGTACTATAATGTTAAATGGAAAAACACCTTTTAGACTTGTACCGGGAGAAATAAGCAGCACATCTAAAGCCCTCTGGAGAGAAGCTGGCTCAGAGGAGCGGGGCCTACCTGGGAGCACCCTGAATGGTGAAGGCCTTGTCGGCGTGCTGGTCGCCCAGCTTCGTCATCACTTCATACAGTTTGTGGCAAAGCTGTGGAGGCAGAAGCAGCTATTAACAGCAGCAAGACATTAGTGTGTCAA